GTAAAATTGTCTGATGGGCACTGTGATCAAGATACATTTCATTTGCTGCCAGCAACTTGTCCTGGAATGGTCCCAGGCTCTGGGAAGCTTGTAAAAGAAGCCACCCATTGTTCTACACAGGGCCAGGTTGACAGGAAACCTGGAACTTTCAAGAGCATATGACATCAATTCTGAAAATATTAAGGTGGATGAGCTATGTGACAATTTGAGAATCACAGTTTTCTCCAAGGGGGAGTTACTACTCACTCCTGCCAACCTAAAGAGTGTTGGGTACCTGAATATGTCATTTGTTCTGGGCTCTGAAGACTTCTGTGCTCTGTGGGGTGTTGCCATCCAAAACTCTCTGACTCATTCAAAACTAGGATAGAATGAAGGTCTGCTTGCCTGTGATGCTCCTTCAGAAAGGCAAGTGCTTAAACATTGGGTTACATCCCCTTATGACCTTTTGTTTTGTTTTGAGACAATGTTTGATGTAAACTGGTCTCAAATTTGCTAGATAGCTTTGGATTCCAGATTCTCCTGTCTCCAATTCCCCAGTGCTAGGATAACAGACATGTGATATATATATATATATATATTATATATATATATATATATATATATATATATATATATAAAATTTGAGACAGTGTCTCATAGCCAAGGCTACTCTCAAACTCATTTGTAGCTGAGGGGACCTTGAGCTTCTGTCTATTCCTCCAGAGTGTTGAGTTTACAAGCACCTGTCCTTTGCCTGGCTCAGGACTTGACTTTTTAAAATTTTTTTGAGACAGAGTCTTTCTGTAGCCCCAAATGGCCTGGAACTCACTGTGCAGATCAGGTTGGCTTTGAACACACCGAGGTGCACCTGCCTCTGCCTCCTGAGTGCTGGGATTAAAGGAGGACTTGGCTTTTTAAAGTCTGCTCACCATAGTTCTCACAGAACACTTGGAGCTGAGCTAAGCCTTGCTTTTACCCTGCTCTGGGTTTTGAAGCTTAACCAGAGAGCCTCTAGTTCGTCTTTCTCTGGCAAGGGTAGATTTCATTTTCTGTGGGAACCATTTTCTTGGAGGGATCTGTCCACGCATGTGTGTATATGTGTGTGTTCTATAAATTTCAAATTTTTGCCCAAATGGGTCATTCTAATGACACCCTCACAGTTTCTGTCCTAGTTTGTCTCTCCAGTGCTGTGACAAAACACTCTGGCCACTACCAACTTGGGGAGGAAAGGATTTATTTTATCTTACATCTTCGGTCACAGTTCATCAGGGAGCCCAAGGTAGAAACTCAGGGCAGGAGCCTGGTGGCAGGAGCTGGAGCACAGGCCATGGAGGAACGCTGCTTACTGGCTTGCCCCCCTGGCCCCTGCTCAGCCTGCTTTCTTATGCAACACAGGCCCACCTTCCCAAGGGTGGCACCACCCACAGTGGGCTGGGTCCTCCCACATCACTCAACAATCAAGATGCTCCATGGACATGGATGGCCACAGGCCAGCCCAATGAAGGCAATTCCCCAATTGAGGCTCCCTCTACCCACGTGTGTCAAGTTGACACTAAAGCTATCCAGCACAGTTTCCTTGCTATGGCTGACCTGTTAATATGGTGCTGCCAACTGGAGTCTGTCCGAGCCATCAGCCCTTCTGGCTCATGCATATACTTAAGAGGTAGGCCTTCCTTCTAGACTGAGAGATGGGTCTCAACCATCAGTGCAAACCAAGAAGACTTGGCCTTGAAATAAAGCAGGGCCCTGGGCCCAGGAGAGCTGGTTTCCCAGGAATCCTGCCAGCTGTGTTTCCCTGTCATTTCTCAGAGATCAGGAGGAAGCAAGCACTTCCCTTCCACAGGATAGCCTTGGCATTCTAGAAGGCCAAGTAAGGAGCCTGTTATGGCCACCAGGAGGCTGGAGTAGACAGAAGTCAGTGTGGGGCAGCCACGTGAAAGCTGGGGCAGGTGGAAGACCAGGTAGGCGGCCTCTCTGTGTTCTGGTTTGTGGCCATGAGGTAGCCGAGACCCTGAAGAGCTCACCAAAACATTGTCCTTATTTCGCCCACTTCCTTTACCTGGGCCATGACTTCCATTTTTCTGAGTGGAGAAGTCCATAGATCTAACACCACCCTCCTTCAGAAGTGTAAATATTGACTTCCTCGTCCTGGTCCCAGAACTGGCAGGATGATGGGGATGCCCTAAACAGTTGAAAAGTCCTGCCTGCCCTAGAGAGTTATATTGGAGGGGGAGACAATTGAAAACAAGGACAGCCACGTGGCACATTGGGTGAAGGTGTTTGCTACCAAGGCTGACAACCCAAGCTCAATACCCAGGACCTACATGGTAGAAAGACAGAACTGACAAAACTTTTCCTCTGACCGCCACGTTTGTGCCATGGCATGTCCCCCTCAAATAATAAATAAAATCTTAAGAAATATGTTCAAGGGGCTGGAGAGATGGCTCAGCGGTTAAGAACACTGGTTGTTCTAGCAGAAGACCAGGGTTCGAATCCCAGCACCCACATGGCAGCTAACAGCTGTCCGTGACTCCAGTCCCAGGGGATCTGATGGCCTCTTCTGACCTCCACAGGCATTGCACAACATGGGTACACTTGCCTACATGCAGACAATATACGCGTACACGTAAAATAAAAAATAAAATATTTAAAAAAGTTAGAAATAGATCTACTGTATGATCTAGCTATACCATCCTTGGGCATATTCCCAAAGGGCTCTGTCTCCTGCTGCAG